ACTGTATGGTTGCGGCTGTGATTCTTTTGCCTTATCTTGACCTCGTAGCAAATTTAGGTATCACGATGGTGCAGTGGTCTCCTGTATGAGTAGCACTCGTGGTTGGGTTCGATTCCCAGCACTGGCAAACTTCTTAAAGTAGAAGGTAGCTTCAGTTCTGTGACAGTCGTGCACGGTAGAATACCTTCTGGAGTCCAGAATTCCCTGTCCATCTGCAAGGGTACAACCCACCGTTCGATGGAGTTGAAGAGCAAAAAAAAAATCAGCCAAGTATAACACTGTCAAGTTGCAACTCCGGCCTAAGTGGAACGTTCGGCCCTGCTTATGGAGCATGAGAGCTGCTTCAGATTCGAGAACAACAAATGTGCAAGGAGAACGATAAAAGATAAGAATAACTTGAAGATGACGGCGCCAGGATCAAGCCTAACCGGATGGGATGGTGATCAGATACTCTCCGTGCATGTTCCTTACCAAGTGCTGCCCGCTCTTCTAACACTAGGTCCTTCAGTAATCTAGGGAATAACATTAAATCGTATTATCCTGTAATTTGCATCGGTCTGAGGGGGAAGGGAGATCGGCAAAGATCGGCCGTATCGTGCCCGTAGTATCGGTAACTTAGCCGGCAACTAAACGATGGAACTTGACAATGAGATACCACCAACACCATGCTGCTTTACCATCCCCATCCCCTCCCCCTATTACCGGCGAAACTATTCGTGTAGATCTGGGTGAACTCTCATACCTGCTTGTTTCTTAGTTTTCGAGCCTCTTCGACTGATCTTGGAGCGGGCGCTGACTGATCCTCGACTGAATTTTCGCGAACCTTGGTTTCCCGCTTCAAAATAGTGCAGCTACACTACACAATTGAATCATGCGCTTATGCCTGGAAAAGGTTTCTTCTCTATTCGACTCCTTGGCTTGGTCTAATCGATATCCCTTTCATCTTTTGTGCTTTCCCTGGATGGAAACGCGGCCAGTGATTATTCCGGTGCTTTCCCGACGTTAACCGTTTTACCGTGTCCATAATTAACCTGCACGCTCTACGCTTCCCAGACGTAACCTTCGCAGGAGGATCTGCTCAAGTTGCTCCATTTCTTTATCTTCTACACAGATGTTCTTCATTTATGTTCTTTGCCTCAGAGACGTTGCCCTTAAGTTCACACTTCATCGGTTCCGATAGCGGAATGCGAGCCGTACGTTGTCATGTCGTTTTGATACGCGGTGGCGGCAACATGTGTCCTTTACTGCCCTTACCGCCTCCCTGCATCTGGTCAGCCTAATCTCAGGACCTGGACCGTTCGCTTACTTTTTTCTTTAGCACCCGTCCAAGTCTTTTAGGATCACCTCCATTGAAATATTGAAGGCTTGTGAATTGTATAGCTCTTCTTTCAACGGCTGACTCGGTGTTATCTTGGAACATTGTCATCCCATCCCTGACACGGACGTATCACACGATGGCCTTCGGTCTTCAAACCGATGTGTGTACCCAAGGGTCGGTGTGATTTTCTCGGATTTTCCTCATGATACATGTACTGATTGATATCAAACGTTCTACATAAACGCAGTCCTCAGCTATGGACCCTCGAATATTTCGGTACCGCACCCGTTCGTGTTTCGTTGATGTCATTTACTCCCGTAAACTGGACACGGGTCTAAAAGTCTTTTATTATCTATCCAATGCCATGTCCTCTTTTCATCTTTCTTTACTCGCACTATCCGCATGTTTTGATGAGATTGGGACGAACGATAGGAGGATCTGATTCAAGCACGAGCCTATTTTAACCGGGCCGGCAAGTAGCCTACTATACTTCCGTCCTGTGGCCCTTTCACTCCTATGATACTATTTAGGCAGGGTTGTCTCTCACCATTGTATTCCTGCCGCAATGCCTGCCATTCTCGCCTTCAGCTTCAATACTCACACACACGACGAACGCCGCGCGTCATCATTCAACATTACCCTTCCCCATAAATTAAAATTTCATTACCTCATGTCAATATGACGTCAGTACCGACGCTTCTTTTTGTTAGATGACATCAAGGACTCGTTTAGACTCGCTTTTGAGCAGTCCGCCTGTCACCCAAGTGCTGTTCTACGGTTTCTAGAAAGCTCTTCTGTATTCCCTATCTCTCTAATTTCCCAAAGCGTGCGGAATTCGAGCAAAAAAGGAGAAAAGGAAATTGAGGCGATCCATGACGTCACCCCGTGGGACAATGACGTCGACCCCTCACGACCGGGCAAAAAACAGGCCAATTTGAATTTTCCTTTCTTATCCATCATCCCCCATCACCCTTTACTCCACACCGCCTACATCATACTCAACTCCACGTATTTCTCTTGCATTCGTACTTACACCGTACTCGAATTCCAGCCATTCAAGTCCAGAAATCCAGCGAAAATGGGCGGAGACCACAAATGCCCCGTTTGCCAAGCGACGTTCACCAGACCGCAGCACGTCGCGCGCCATATGCGTTCGCGTGAGTCCTTTCAGCTCCACTTTGTTTGACTTTGTGGTGCTCATTATCCTACCCGATACTTTCTCCACGATGCTTTCTCCAACTATCCACTTTTCGTCACGAATCGCACGGAATTCTGATTCTTAGATACTGGCGACCGACCGTACAAATGTACGCACTGCGGTGACCAGTTTGCTCGGAGGTACGAGTTCATTTACTTCAGTTTTCCGTGATTACTCGCTGACGGGTTTCCTAGCGACCTCCTCTCACGACACATCAACAAATGCCACGCTTCCGCGTCGACGACGACCAACGAGAAGGGCAACGGTCGACGGAAAGCCTCGGCTACGCGTGCTACAACCAGCAAGCAAGCATGCGACCAATGCGTGCAGAGTAGTCTGCCCTGTGATGGGTGTAACCCGTGCTGTGAGTTTTCTTTTCATTAATTCTGTCGTGGCTAGCTTCGACGCCGTTGGCCGGCTTGACACTTCATTTGAGCCGACCGTCTATGAGGTACTCATCATGAAACTGTCAAGTCTACGCCATGGGCAGACTGCTAGTCTACACTCCTAGTGAGCGGGTATTTCGGACCAAGCAAAACCACCGAAAACGATTGGATTCCGTATTAAACTTTGAGACAGGATTTTGACCACACCAAAATCCGTCGGGATTCCATTCAATGGCAAAGTCGAAGCGTTTTGTTGTGGTCAAAATAATGTGCCAAATTTTCATCTCTATTCCAGTCATTTCCCTTGCATTTTGACGGGCGCGAAATTGTCACCTGCCAGGTTTACTTCAATTCCAAACTTTTGCTGATTAATATCGCCGTAGCCAAATGCGTACAACGTAAATGTCGTTGTACATTCGTCAAGTTTCACCGACAGACAGCGCCGGTTGGCCCAGGTCACAATCCCAATCCTTCGGCTCACATACCAGCCACCGCGCAGCGATCTTATCTTCCTCCAGCCGTGTCCGTATCTTTCCCAAGTCAGCAGCAATTTTCTTTCCCACCACCGCAAATGTATCCACCCAGCCTCGACGACTACCAGTCCAAGTACCGCGAGCTCATGCAGACGCAGCAGACTAGCCCAGAAATGTATCATCCAACTCCGGCATGGATGAACTACGGCGAGCCTGCGCACGATATCCTTAATGCTGGAGGCTCAGATCTCGCGAGAGCACATTCGCTGGAGCATCATCATAACCATGGCTCACACTCCGACCACCATTCAAACCATATTTATGGCGGAGGCGGTGGTTGGGTGAGAAGAGATTCTCTTTCAGAGAGTGGAGGCAGTAGCGCCGCAAGTAGCAGCGTCCACTTACCCCTTTACGAGAACATTGATCCTTCAACAGCGGCGGCAGCGGCAGATGCACGCCTGGAAGCATTCGGACTGATGAGCCTTGAGGAGCCCAATGCCCTCTATGATGGGGCTGCCCCATTCTTTGATGGTATTTTCCCATCGTCATCGGTGCAACCGACGTCTACAGGCAATCATGTGCCGGTGGCCAGTATGATGCAGATTCCAACTCCTCGTGAAGCGGAGACTAGGGAACTCCGTGAGTTTTGGAAGGAGTATATGCGCAGCACACCCTTAAATCATCCAGCTAACCACGCTCATTCGGCATCCCCGCCGCATCCGGTAATGAGCCCACCGAACGGTAGGAAGCGCGTGTCGAGCTTGCCGAGCGTGAAGACGCCAACGGAGAACGTCGTCGGCGGGGGCGAAGGGAAGGGAGGATTCGAGGATGCGGTGATGGCTCGGAAAACGCTCGGAAATTTGAGCATGGGAGGGGTTCAAGGGATTAAGGGCCGACGAATGACGCACATCAGTCCCCCGTCATTATCGACGTCGATTCCACCGCCGCCGTCGCACCGTCAGCCGCCGGTAAACCACGGATTCGCGTACGGTTTCTCTCTCGCTGGGGCGATGGGCGAGGGGGAAAGACCCAACTTCAAGCGCCTCCCTAGTCAGGTTCTGGAACCGCTGGGGGGGTCGAAGCGAGTGAGGGGTGACGAAAGTGACGATGGGGGCATGGGTATGATCAAGGTGGAAGGTGGCGAATGACTATATGATCGGTACGATGCGGATTCGCTTGCATATTAGACAAGCCGGGAGTATATTCTCTTCGTTTTATTTGCTTTGATGCATTTATGTTAGATACCAGTTGTTTTGTCAAAATATCCAGATAATTAAGTATTATGTGATGAGAGCGGACTTGTATCCGTCAGGACGAGACGACAGGTTGCGATTAAGAGGGAAAAGAATGGCGGAGTTGCCCCACTTGGGTCACGGGAGTCGCCATCAAAGGTATTTTGAAGAGGACGTAGTTACGACGAGACTATGTAGTGTTAGCAAGAAGTAAAGGGGTACTTGATCACAGTCAGAACTTGGAAGGCGACTATGCAGTGCGGATTCTGTAAACAACTTTTCAAAGTTCAAATTCGAAATTGAATGCCATGGTCCAATCTCCATCAATCTGAAATCATCAATGATTCAATGCACATTGCAAAAGAAAAAGGACTTCCTCGGTGCTTGGACCAGCTCTCTGGCTGGGAGTCGAACCCAGCTTTCGCGCGCAATACAGTGCGACAGGTATTATGACAGGCGCGTGTACTAACCGATATACTACCAGAGACACATGATCTACTCTTAAAATAATTTATTGAAAAAATCATATGGTACTCGCCCCATAGACGTGCTTCCTTCCTTTGTGTCTTCTCTGGAGTCTGTTGTTACCATGTACAATGACTGAATATAATCTCCGCTTCGTCCACATCCCGAATACTATCCGTTATCCTATCAATTTTCCGAGGCTTTCACTTCCTAAACATTGACGGACGCAGTCTTCTCTATTGTTTGCTCTCGCACTCTAACTTCATACATCTGAGCCTCTGCCTGCCCAAGTACTCTTACTAAGGTCTGGATGATACATCTCATGTTCCTGAGGTCCGACTGCTCCAACTAAAGAGGACATGGTTGTGCTTCATCTCTTGTTCATCTCATCCTGAATTTCACTTATACCCTTTCCGGGGTATTTCCGGGTTCTATAGGACCAGGAATACTGACTTGTTGTTATGCGTATTCGTCTGGGAGGTATTCAGAGGCTCACGAGGCTATTGATGCCATCTTAAAAGGTGATTAGTGCATAGTGGCTTGCCTACTACTATGTCCTAGTCCTGTGACAGAACATTCTATGTGGCAAGTGTATATCGACAGCTCGCCTTCATATACAGTCTGGTCACGAGACTAACTATGTCCATCATACTAGAAAATTGCCAGTAGTTGCCCGTATTACCCGTAGTACTACCGTCTTACGGTCGTGGGTTCGAGCACTCCTGGACAGCCCATTACGGTACGGGTACGGCTGACCCGTACCCGTCAAGTGCCCATAAACTTTACGGTGGACATCCCGCCCTAGTTAAATTTTCCCCACAATTTGTACTCATCGAAGACCTTAACATGCAAACTTTGAAGGGACATCGTGGTGAAATAAAGGAGTTACGTAGGAAGTATATCGTGCAGATGACTTCGAGCTCTCCAAAGCCTTCTTTCCTTGTGATAGCCATGGATTATGCGCAGGGGAAGGGGCCGTTGTATCCCAAATTGTCGGTGCATTCGATGCACGAGATTGGACACTCTAACGCGCCGGCGGAGCGAAAGGTGTCGATGGACGACCTGGCGGGAAAGGGCCATGATATCGTTTATATGACTATCCTTCACGGTTCTGCGGTGTTCTCATTATTCACAGCATATCCGCCAGCCGGGTTAGAGCTGGAGCTGAGGAACTCCCGAGTCCCAACGATAATATTACAAACTAGCATTCTAATTTCTACGGTAAACCATCACTATGCCTGTTCTTCAGCGTCCTATATCACTGTAAATGCTGTACTAATGATAAGTGCTGCAAGACATAATGTCTTTAGGAAAGCCAAAGCATTCGGAAGATCTACCTGGGCAGTCACGTTCATTAAATAGAAGAATATAGAGAGAAAATGTCCGATGAATAGGTCCTTCATCGCATTCATAGAACAATAGAAGAGGGAGAAAGAGAGGGAGAAACGTCTATTGAATGTGTTCATTACAATTCGTTGCGTCCAAGACAAAAGAGGAGAGGAAAATCGCCTACAATGAAAATGTTCGTTTCATAGAAATAGAATATGGACGTGTGGACCGGAAACAAGCCCATCAATTTGTGTACAAGGTGCCTAAACGAGTACAGACTACGATCAGCAATCACAAACCAAACGATCAATTTGTGTACTCACGATGCCACCTGAACTCGAGCGACAAGCCGCTTGACTTCCAAGTTTGCAGATCGGCCCTAGTGACAGGCCCATAATCTGTTAAAACAGAGTCCAAGCTTTCATACGTCTCTATCAGGTCTACGGGCCACCCGTCTCTATATATCATCGCGACTTCGACTTGCTTGACAGTCGAAGATAGGGTTCGGCGACCCTGGATCATTGATAATGCGGCGCCTGCTAGTTGGCTTTTCCTGATCGCTATAAGATTGCTCTCCACGCACGGGTAACTGTGGACTTCTAGGTTGAGCATCTTCAAGCGAGGGCAAGGGACAGCACCATCGCGGCTCGGAACGAATGATCGCAGAACAGCGACAACTCCATCCATTTCCACGTCCGGTAAAAGCGGCGGTCTGGCGTCGAAGTCGAATACAATGACATCTGGCTGGTCTTTTAATTTGATGGAACAGACATTGGGACAGGAATGGATGGCTGCGATAAATTCGTCCGTGTAAAATTGGAATAAGTGGATCGCAGATATGCTGATGGATATGAGAGTAGTATGGGAACGGCCAATTGTCGGGATGATGCCAGGCATGCTGAACGCGATATTGTTGAATTTAATCGTCAGTTCCTCGAGCCGAGGAAGGTTGGAGGCCATTATGATGACAGGATCGTCGGTATCCAACCGGCGTAGGGCAGTATGAGTGACAACGGGATGAACATTGCCTTGAGGAAGAGATTCATTAGGGAGAAATGCGTTCCTCCGGATCGTCAGCTCCTCCAACCTGTGGGATACCATGAGTATATGGCGTAGAAATGCTAGTACGTGCAAACCGCACGCTACGTCGTATTGTAAAGAATACTCAGTGAGGTGTTCAAATATTGGAAGGAGGGGTGGACCGCCCCACTGGGTGAAACGCCTCAAACGCAGTGCGCTACAGAGCATAACGGACAGATTCGTACCGTCAATCTCGTAGTATTCGGGGTCGGATAGAGGGTCACGTACGTGATTATCCGAAAGGAAGATACACATCTCTTCAAGAGATTCGAGATGGTCTGATAGCGAGATGAGGGAATTTAAAAAGCTCGAATGAAACGGAGCGCCAACGGGCGGAGGCTTGCAGGAATGTTTGAAACACGGCGAAGAACCGCGAGTTGGGACCGGAGACGTCTCGGATTTTGCCCTGGGATTGCCAGTATACATTGAGTGAATTCGTACCCGTGAGGCTGATCGCCAACTCGAGGAGTCGAGGATCGAAGGATTTGTTGGGGGAAGCATCGACGATGAAGGTAGACCAGAGACTGGAGCAGGATTGTGCGACGACTCTCCATTTTTTTGTTCACAAATGTCAAGACCCAGGGCGGGGAGTCGAGTCTGTTTACGATGTATGGACCGGATGATACCTCTTTAAAGATATCCAAGAGGAGATCGGGAGCAAGAGATTGGATTGGAGATGACTTCCTCTCTGTCGCGAGAACGACGACGTCTGAATCACCAGCTCGACCATTCGTAATACTAATTGTCCTAGAGAATTTTGAATTATAGGCCCTGGAATTATGCCACAGTGACGCACATGATTTACAGAACAACAAAGCTGGATAGATGGTCGGGAGAGATAAGGCCAAAATATCAAGGTAACCGTGAGCCTGCCAGAACACAGTCGTGTGAGTGAGTTTGTAGTAGATACAATCTTGCTGACACGAACCACTGTGCGAATCCAGTAGTTTCAGATCAGATCCTAATATCCAGCACGGAACCGGAGGCTCTCTAACAAAGGAGGAGGGAAGGGCAGAATGAGTCGTTCTGGCTGCAACCTTAGGGTATTTTAGTGTTTGACAAGGATCGCGGGTATAATCAAGGCCGATGGTTTTTAACGGCGAATCAAGTCAGGTGGGACGGGGATCAAGTTGGCGGAATGGCAGACTTCGATATTGCTTACTCGCCTGTCGAATCGCTAGGTGACCAAAAGTTTAAAACTTTTTTGAGGGCATGAAATGTACTCGCGAAACACGTTGAAGCGGCTTTTTGAGACGGGGACACGTCTATACTATTATGGCGTCAGCGCCATGCCACGGGATATAGGAAGTAGTCTTACGACTTGCATACCAGCAAGGACGGCCTGTCTTGATCCAGAGTTTTCCGCTGTCAAGAAGACCGAGAAGCGAGAGATATACGAGGCAAACCCGATAACGTTCTTGATAATACTGGATGGCATTCGCACCCAGGTGGACGGGAACCATAGAGGGCGAAGTTATCTGAGAGTCTCCAATTCTGGTCCTGATGGCAGAGGCAAATACCTTTAACGAAGAATCCCATTAGCCCGACATACTGATGAAGTTTGATTAGTGCGATTGATAATCGGTAAATGACCAGATCTTTAATTTTAGTCCCGCAATGTCATGCCTATCAGAAATCTATAGGAATGCCATCCATGCACAGATTTCTCGTTACGAAGTGAGCTCTTGTGGATCAGACTATAAAAGAATTTCTGAGAATCATCAGGTCATCTGTAAAAACCAAAAAAGGCTCACGGTAAGAAGAGAGGGCGGGAGAGCTCCGGCAGACGTTCGCCAACCTAGCATCTCTCAGGATGGCACCGGCGGCAACAGCAGTTTTGCACAAGTGCTGCGCCTCCGTAAGATTTTCTGGGATCAACATCGAATCATTTAGGCGCGAATTGGTTGGCATACTACTTCTAGAGTAATCCGGACAGAAACAAACGCGTCCATCGCGTCGCCCAACGCCACAGCAGATAGTGAGAGTTTAGAGTTTAGAAAACCGGTATGCGGTAAGAAAGGAACATTCGGTTATCGGAGTTTGAAACCATCTGACGGATCCAAAGCTCTTATCTGCACGGCCACAAAAAGTGCATCGACTTTACGTGGTCAAGCTAAAACTAGTCCTCGGTTGTTCATGAACGTTCATGTCCGGGCTCTCAATGTTGGAATTATATTACATTATACATTACGGTTCACATTCTGAGCTATGTATAGGAAGTTCACAAAACGCACTCATTTCAAGCAGACCTGTCCGCCCCTTGTTTGGCGTCCTGGATCTGGCTCTTCAGGTTGGACCCGTTCACAGACTGGTCAACAAGACCTGTTTTTCTGTCGCTTTTCTTGGCATCGGCATTGCTGGTATCAATGCCGCTTCTCTGAGCTTTATTTCCCCACACGCCTTCAGGAGGACCTCCCCATCCTCCTGAGGACGTCGCTGTACGGAACAAGTCAAAAATGGGTCTATATTATTGAAGGTGTGAACAGCATACTGTCTCCTTCGGGAGGGTAGTTCTTCGTCGCATAGTCAATGGTGGCAGCTAATTGTAAGCTTGATTAACGTCTTTGTCCACGAGGTCGAAGAAGCAATTCACAGTCATCAACGAGGGAATCT